AGAAGTGTATCAAGACTCGGTTCTCGTACTTTAGTACAATGTACTCCGTGTTAGTATAGTGGCTCAGGACAGAAAAAAGCTATGCTCTTACCTGGAGTATGCACATATCCAAAATAATGCTCATTATGGACACACTGGTATGCTATGGTATTGGCAGCCCTGAAACTGACTATCTTTTCTCATTTAAAGACTACTAAAACTTGGTTTTGGGGCTGCCCTTATAAGCCTTGAAAGTGACAAGAGACAGCAACCCTGAAATGAGCTTTTCCCATCAGTTTTAAGGCTTCCGAGGGCAGCTCTTTGACAGCCATTTTCTCTTCACCATTTCTGGCACCAGTTGTTATGCCGTTAAATAGATTTTATGCAGTTAAAGGGAGGGAGCAGGGAACACAGCAGCAGACAGATGCCAGGAACAGAAAGCAGAGCAGGAGATTGGGTAGAGAGCAGACAGCAGAGCAGGCAATCGGGCACAGGAATGGAATCAGCATACGCTAAAGGAGTTTGCAGGGCTTACTTTGTTGTTTGTCTGCCAAAAAGATTAGCCCCTACTACTGTAAGCAATAGACAACAAATTAGAACTAGCATTCTGTTATGCAGGTAAGTGAATTATGCACTTAACAGGTATGCATATGTCAGGTACATGTATTTATGCTTCACCATGTTTGACCATTTTTCTTTTATATTTACTAGAAAAAAGTGGATCCGTTTGCGAACACCATTCATCTTCCCCATCATTTTGAAGAGGAAATTAATAAAATTTTGGTGTTTACAGAGGTGAGTAAACATACATTATTGAAGCTGTTTTATAATGCATTTAAAAACACTTCAATTTTATGGTTTCCTTTCATATTTGTGTCCCACCCTTGATCCCGAAGGATGCCCAAGTGCTTCACAGAGTTTCAAAAGCAATTCGAATCTTAAATAATTAATAAATAACTGTGTTCTTTCTTGGGTTTCTCCATTTTTTTTTATATGCATCTGTTAGCAGAATATTTTAATACTATAAATTCAAGGCAGAATATCTACTGAACAGCAGTTGCCTATAACAGTAAGTGGGAGATTTAATATATTTTTGTAAACGACAAGCTCCTTCAGAGGCATGCATAATACAGTCTGCAAGAGGAATCATTAGCAATTCCTATTGGGTTATATGTAGTATCTTTCTCCTAATCTTATTCTAATATAATAGACATATGCCAAATACACTGACAGTCCCTTTTTACCCAAAGTACTTCCAGCATTCTTCGTCTTCTGTCTTTCCAAGCTGGGAATGAGGCACCAAGGCTAAAGTAACTTGATGTGGGTTTCTTTTAACCTACTGGAGGCTAAAGGAAGTCTTTAATAGCAAATTAGAAAGCTATCTCTTTTTGTTCTCCATTTGCGTGTGTGTGTATGTATGTATTAAATCTCCATTTCTTTAAATGTTAAATTTCAGGGGCCAAATATTGTCATACAAATTATTTGTTGTAATACCAGTCTGTGTTTCAGTTGTTTTGCCCTTGAATTCCTTTAAGGCAACCTGATGCCTGGCTTATGTACAAATAGAAAACTAATTTATTTTTTGGAATTTTCAGGTGAGGATTTTACAGGTTTTTTGCCAGTGTAGTTTTCCTTTTAACTGAAATGCTAATGAAAGATACTACGTTAATAACACCAGATACCATAAACTTCCTGTGGGTGAGACCCAGCCCTTCCATCTACTGTGGCAGCGCAAATGGCCCTGTCTGCCTCCCTTCCCTTCTCCTCATCTCCCCTCTGCTGGCCTCGCCACAGCAGCGGCTGCTTCCTAACGATGGCTCTGACCCTGCTCCCCGCAGGCGGCAGCACTGGGTTGGAGAGGGGGTCTTGACTGGCCAGGGACCCATGAGTTTATTTGCCTAGAGTCCACTAAAGAGTTAATCCAGCCCTGGGTAGAACTCGAGTATTAGGAGAACCCATGTTGCTATCAAGCATTGTCGTTGCCATTGCCATTCTCTTTCACTAGAATAAAATTAGCAAACACCAAAATGAATCAAATTGATCATGTGCAGGGGTGGGGAGGGGGACAGGCACAGACACAGGGTTGGGGAGGCAGGAGGAGTGGCAGGGGGTACAGGCACAGGAGGGGCCATGGGGCAGGGAGGACAAGTGCTGGGGGGCAAGGGGCAGAGGTCTGGCCCCTTGCCCCCTTCCTCTGCTTTCCCTGCCACAGCAGTGGAGGGGACAGGTTTTAAGATGACTCTCCAATAATTAGGTTCTATACATATTTATATTTATAATTTTCCATGTATAGAATCTAATTATTGGGAGGTTGTCTTAAATTACAAGTCATTTTAGATCCAGGTAAATATGGCACTGAAGGTTGTAAAACTCACTATCACTGCTATGGAAATATGGACACAAGACAGTCAGGCAACATAGAAACTTGAGTCCATGTGTTCACTATTCAAAGTGACTTGCACCTTGGCAGGCAATGGTATTCTGTATCAGTGGTGCTCAAGATTTTGGCCCTTTGGGCCAAATGAATGACACAGAGCTTGTCTGTGGGTTGGATCAGGTCCCACAGTGCCTAGCTCCATGCGTTTGGAAAAGGCCTTGTGGGCCCAATCTAGTGCACAAGGCCATGGCCTGCATGGCTTCCTGTGGGTCAGTTGGCACAGCTCCAGGGGCCAGATATGGCCTGTGGGCTGGGGGGTTGAGCATTGCTTTTCTAGGTAGAAGCTTCATTTAGTGTACATTTCAAAGGTAGCCCTAGGCAGAATGTAATAACTTAAGTCTGTTATGAAGTGGCAGACATAGAAATAGTAGTTTTATTGTCTTTATTAGAATAATCGCACCCACCTGGCCATCCATCACTTATGAAAGGTACTACTGCTGTCAGAGAATCCAGGAACAGTGATTATTTTAATAGGGTCTCCCATTTTGAGGCATTTTTAATAAAAAGGGGATAACCTATGCATTCTTATGTAGGTTGCTTTGGATGCTCTTTCCATTAGTTTCTCTGATGGTCACATTCTACAAGAAACATTTGTATTTTCTTCCAGTCTGTTTAAATCAAGATATGTAATTAGATAGGTTATCAGAAAGAGATGCTTTTACAGAAGCATGGTTAGGTGGAAAAAACAAGTGAGTATTACTGCTATATTGATGCTGCAGCTCAGAAATGTCTAACTTGTTAATACATCCTGGATAAGAGGTGACAGGATTCAGCTCCTTCAGACCCCACATATGATTGATTTCTTGGGGAGATGAGTATCTCAGAATCTACTTTTCAGGATCTCAAAGTGGAATGCATAAAGTCATGCAATTCTTTTTTTAAAGAAACAATGTTTGATGTCTTTTCTAACTGAGTCAGGAACACTTTAGTATATTAAAAGCTACTAAGTTAAAATACCTATGTGATATTAATGGTTTACATTCTATTACCCCTGTGTGAAACTAGTTTAACTAGAAGAAAATATAGCCAGCAAATGATATTAATCTCCGAACATCTTTTTATGAAAAGATCTGTCACCATATGTTTTAGAACAGCAGATTTCTTTCCTGGAGGGAGGTGATTCATAATAGTCTTTAGTAGTGCACTGTTACACTACTAAATGTCTCTTCTAGCTTTAAAGAATGACAAAGGCTTGGATGCTGTCTAAAAGTTGATGATTGCTGCATCCTGGGAATGAAGAAAGAAAATGAGAAACTGAACAAAAATTACTAAGCTAAAAGGGGATAACTTTTTTCTGTACCATAGATTTTATTGACATTTCCTTCTGGGACTTATTCAAATTCACGAATTAGAGGTCTAGGTTCTAATACAAATCCCCACAAACCTGGAATAGTTCTCTCCTTCTGATAAGATTCATCCTTAACCAAGAAATCAGTTGGGGTTTGTATACTTCCTTTTTTCAAGAATATACAGCTGTATTGGTTTAGTCATTCTATTATGGCTGATGTTGATGGATAACAAATTGGTAAAAGTTTATTCATTGTATCTGGACTACTTGTTTTCTAACAGAATGCAGAACAAGCTGAAATAGCAAAAGAAAATGGAGCTGCCTTTGTAGGAGGGACTGAACTAATTCAAGAGGTATCTATTTCTGTCAATTATAAATTGTACTTCAGAATTCTGAGAGGTGATCAGAAAAAAAAACGCTACTGAGGCCAGGATTCAGTCCTCCATATTAGAAAGGTGACATAAAAGGTGTTAAATTTGTAACTGCTTACTGACATGCATATAGATGTAACATGCAGAGGGGGTTTGTGGTATAAAAAAGTAAGAGAAATATGTAATAAGATAAAAGGTATAAGTCCTTCTTTACGTTAGCTTGCTTTTAGTTGCTTTTCTTTTGACTTTTTTCCCACTGTTCTAGCAATGGAAAAAACAGTCTAAAAAGCAATAAAGAATGTAATGTTCTTTAGTGCCCTAAAGCCTGCTAATCTGGTTCCTATTTAGATCTTGGTTTTATAGTCTCTGGTGGCAGGCTTTAAAAATTCAGTTGGTCTGTATAATATGGTTAGTAATGCTCTTTACAGACAGTTTACAGCAGGGAGTAGTTTCTCTTGTACAGAACCTAGCATACCCTGCCACTGTTAAGAACTAAGAAAATAATAATTCAGTCAGTACTGTGAGACTGACTTGATTAGGTTGATAGAAGCTTAAACAATGATAACAAGGCAAGAAGCTTTTACTTCCTTATATCTTTCAGTAAACAGTCTTGAAAAAGTACATGTTAATTGGATTTTATAAGGGTTTTTTAAATTTATTTACAGATTTTGGACGATGAAATCCAAGCAGACTTTTATATAGCTGTTCCTGAAATAATTGGAAAACTGAACCTTTTAAAGAGCAAGCTAAGAAATAAATTTCCAAGCAGCAGAAAAAGTAAGACTCTTGTATCTCTGGATCATTTGAGCAAGACCTTTTTCTTTAAACAATTTAATCAGCCTTTTTATTTAGGAAATGAAGTTGTCCAGAGTGTTCATGTTCAAGGTAGTATTTGTGACTGGTAAGAGGAACTTTACTGAGAGTTTAATTCTGTTCTGAGATTATTTTGATTTTTGAAAAATCTCTTTCTGTAAGCCAGTTGTTCAGTCTTAATTAAATTGAGCCTTGAGTTTAATATTAAGATTGGCAGTAACAATAGCAACCGGGTCAGCACAAGAAACCACTAATTGTGGACACAGGTGTACTGAAAATTTGCTATATGTTGTACACTCAGAGTCACAAATACTTCGAAATTTGCACATTACAATAAACAGACATTCTGTTACAGTGGACTATGGAAATAAAAGCTTTCTTTGGATAATCACTTTGATCAAAACTTACTTGGCTCTTGAACACTCTTGAATGGTATAGCAGGACATTGGGATGTGCCTACTCCTTTAAGGGAGCAAGCAGCCTGAGAGGCAGCTAGCAGGTGGTGAAGGGAGTTTATTAAGGACTCATGTGACCAGTAGCAGGCTGGACTGGGGATATATGAGCCCTGGACCTCAGCTGGTCAGGCAGTCCAGTCCTGAGAGCTAAGAAGTGAGGAGCTCCTGGCAGCAGGACTCCTGAACAGACTAAAAGGAAGCAACTCTGCACTGCTGGGAACAAGGGAAGGTATCTGGGGCAGAGACAGGCAGGGGGCCTTGGTGTGGGTTAAACCCACAGAAGATTTGAGTGTCTGCCAGAGGTTGTAGGTGCTTTTGCACTAGAGTTTAGCCTTGAACACTGCTGGGGGCAGACTCAAGGTCTGTTTAAGGAACTGATGGCCCAAGAGGGGCTTAGAGTGGGACCCAGCAGAGAGTGCAGGAGCCCAGAAGGGCTGAGAGCAAGGCTGAGAGAGAGTGAGAGATCAAAGAGATCTGACAGCTGACCTGAGAGCAGGGCCAAAGGTCCAGAAGGAACTACAACTAGATTGGCTGGCCCAGGAGTGGGGTCAGCGCCCAGGAGGGACCTCAGCTAGGTTAACTGGCTGGAGGTGGGGCTAGGCCCCAGGAGGGACCAGAGCCACAAGTATAAATGAAAGGTAACACCCGTGAGACATGGGGCTTGCTGTTGGGGAGCATGGAGCCATTCAATAAGCCCTTAAGTCTACTGGTGTCCCTGCTGGGGCACGTACAGGCTGGGAGGGCCTATTGAGCTTGAGGGCTAAACGGAGACTAGAGGGGTCCAGGAGGAGTCTGATGGTAATTTGCGCAGCCATAGGCTCTCTGTAAGGTCTGTGGGCAGCCTTCCTTTTTAACTTTCAATAAGAACAAGGCCTGGCAGGTCAATAATTAAGGGAGGTCTATTTTAGAGATTGAGCTGGGCAGGGGCCGTATAGCCCCCCCTGTGACTCGGACCTGCTACAAACAGCATCTGCTTTTCACCTTTTTTGGCGCTGTTATTTTCTTCATATCTCTGGCTCTTTCTTCATGTAGCTATAAATTTTCCCTTGGTTAGTGTCATATTTCTTATTACAATGAGCACCATTCTCAGATTGTCTGATCTCTACTCATTGACCTTCCTTTGGTCATTAAGAACGTTCAGAAACATACTTCTGACCCAATAAAAATAAATATCTATCTGCTGTTCCCACAGTCTGCTTTCTTGCTAATGGTGCTAGGCCCCAAAAGAAGATTTATTTTTTTTACCTCATCCTTTCACACTTCGTCTTTCCCCCAGCTGTCTACACAACACATTTTAAGAGCAGGCAGGTACCATTTGTGCTCTTTAAACATTTGGAGGGAACTCTTACCTTGTCAGAAATATTGCAGCCCAGAATAGTCCAGGTGTGCCTTAGAACAAATGAAGTCTGTGTAGTTCTGTAAAAAAACAACTCCCCCCCACACCCCGCCCCCCAACCAAAAAAACCCCATGTTTAGTTCCGAGTTTCATAACATTTGATTTCTGTTACTGCCAACAGAAGACTTTTGGGTAAAATATAAATTATATTTCAAGTCCATGGATGATACTGTAAACCAACCAAAGAATCCCCTGTAGCTGAGCTATTTTCTCTCTTCTTACTGATGGGAATGAGTGTATTCATTTGGCTGGCTTGAGTCAGCACGTTTTATACGGAGTCTAATACTGAAACTCAGCAAACTTTGAATCATCCTATGGAATGTAGAGGATTCATTTTTAAAACGGGAATTTGACTTAAGTTTTGTTCCCTTTTCAAAAATTGATTCTAGATATATTTTTCAGATCAATGCCATATCCATATTTAGACATGCAAAAAACTAGAACTCTTAGTTCTGAAATGATACCGTTTATTAGACCAACTGGAAAAGGGCACGAAAATTGTCCTTTTCTGCCAGCTTTCGGGATCAAAGGCCGTTCGTCAGGCTCTAGGAAAAGTGTAGATGGTACAAGATGGTAAAAAGTCCCCATAGGTAGGAAATAAACTTCATTTTTGCACAGAGGGAGCTGGAGATGGAAGTCTGTCCCTCTGGGTCCATGAGAGTGTCTTTGTGAGCTGTGCCAAGTAGCTCTTTGATGTGTTGATCAGGTAGAATTCCTTCCCTGGAGGTGTCAGATGGCAGGCAGGGAGGCAAAAAAAACCTTCCAGCCTCCCTCTGTGCAAAAATTAAGTTTATTTCCTACCTATGGGGACTTTTTACCATCTTGTACCATCTACACTTTTCCTAGAGCCTGACAAAAGGACTTTGATCCCGAAAGCTGGCAGAAAAGGACAATTTTCGTGCCCTTTTCCAGTTGGTCTAATAAACGGTATCATTTTGGAACCAAGAGTTCCAGTTTTTTGTGTGTCTTTTTGTCTCAGACCAACACGGCTACCAAGTACACCCCATAGCCATATTTAGGACTTTATTAGGGCTTATTTTTAAACAGACTTTTAAAATTCAAATTCACAGACTTTTAATTTCAAATGATCTTTATATATAGCGTTAACATTTGTTGATGTGTAGACAATTTGTTGATAAAATACATAGAATCCCAAGACTGGTAAGTTTAGCTTGTGACTGAAGGACAGAAAACATATGCATTGCAAGCCCTGGCCCTGTATTTAGCACCATGTAGACTTGCTCCTTGATAGTTCTGCTTAATGTCAAGGAGGATACTAATTAATTGTTTTAACTCCCTTTCTAGGGATCACTTGACTGTCTCTCATTTTGTTTGTAGCAGCTATCATAACTCTAATAACTAGTTTCTGAAATTGTGAGACAACTTTTTTTTCCTCTTCCCTTTCCCAACTAGATTCTTTGGGTCCTGATATCCCCCAAATGCTGGAATTCTTTAAAACAGGCCATGCATATATGGTGGAAGAAGATTGTCTAATCAGGTCAAGAATAGGAAGAGTAAGTTTTGCCATCCACTTTTAGTATTTTCCTTCCTTTTATTTTTCAGAGCAACAATTATTTGTTTTGTGTCAAAATGTTTTGTTTACCAAGAAGCTGTTTGCACGTGAGCTTAATAAGTAAAATAGACTTTTTAATTTTAAAAGTCACATTTACAGGATCTTATTTAAAAAATCAGATAGGATGTGGCTGGTATTGCCCAAGATATTTGTAACTGAGAAACTTTAATGGTGAAGACCTTTAATGTTAATTTTCCTATGTTTGTCTGCCACCTTTTCTGATCTGTGTTTCTGTACTGTGCGCGGGCCAGGAGCGATCCGGGCCCTTTTTCGTGCCGCGCGGGCTGTGGCCAGCAGCCCGGGCACGCTGGGTCGGGGAAAGCAGGCGACACGCTAGAATTAGGCACGGACGCGTAATGGTTGATTCAAGATTGTTTACTTACACCGAAGATGGTCACGGTGTAGGCTGGACGGTTTCCGAGGCAAAGCTCCACTTAAATCCTCGTTTGAGGACTCCGACAGTACTCGGATCACTCCCACGGAGTTGTCGAGGCTCCGTGGATCCTTTTTGCGCGCAGGGAAGAGGGATACGTCGAGGATTGCGCTCGGCAATGGGGAGAGGCTAGAGGCTGATCAGACCCCTGTTGCCTGCTTGAAATACGCTGGGTCCAATAGGCTCCGCAGCGCTTAGAGATCTTCACAAGACGTGAAGTCTCCTCCTCCTGGTGTTCATGGAGTCCTCCAACTTGGGCGGAAACCACTTAAGCCTTTTATACGGCTAGCAAGCCAATCGCTAGCCGCCATGCGTGAATAATTTAACGCAAGCCAATAACGGGGCTCGAATTAGAATACAAATGGCGGGAACTCCTTGCAACGTGTATCTCCTTTCTGCAGCTAAGAAATGCACCCTGCAAAGAAAGCTACAAATTGGCGGGAAAATAATTCAGTGGTGCCAAAGCACACACAAAACAAAAATCACACCCTTGGGTTGTGACATACTGTACCTGTGTTCTTTCCTCTACTTCTGCCTCTCTTTCTCTTCTCCCTTTCCATTCAGTGTTTGTATCTCCTCTCGGTTGTGTGTACTGTCTGATTTGGCTTTGCTTTGTGTGCCTGTGCCAGAGAAATTAAATTTACCAGATTTCTAATCCTCAAAGTTCTGCCTGGCAGTAATTCAGAGTATTAGGAATCTTGTAAAGTCTACTTAGCGACTGCTGGGTCTGCATTCAAAGGATTTACTTTTTTTCAGTGTTTGAACCTAAAGCTCCATAAAGAGTTACCATGTTAAATTTAATGTATGTTAACTTTCATAGATTAAAAATGCTCTAGTTATAGATTTTAGAAAAAATATTTAGATTTAGTAGCTCTTAAAACTGACAAATTCCTGAATTAGGTGTTGTTCAAAATCTTGTAATAGTGTTTCTTTCCATTTTGGCTCAAAATAACCTGAAAATAAGATAAAATAAAAAATAAATAATTTTTTTTTATGCAGAAGGTGGACTTGAAGGAATCTTTGCAATTTAAATCAAAGATTGCAGAGGTAGAAATCCAGGTGGAAACTGTTAAACCATATGAATTAATACTGAGTTCCCTGGGTGTTGCAGAACTAGAATTGAACAGTTGTGCTCCAGCTTTATAAAGCTACCATTACACAAAAACTGAAATTTTAAAAGATAACTCGTAGAACAGCACGGGCTCATTTCATATTAGGAGTACTGCCCTTTGAGAGTAAGTTGTTTATTCCATGCATTTTATCGTCCTTGGGAAGAATGAGATTTGTTGTGGGGGATTCGGTAACGTCTTGGGTTCTTGGTGATTCTATAATAGTTCAACACGACACTATTTCAGTTATAAACTCTGGATGATCTGAAAGAGAACCTTTTCTTGTATAGGAAAAGCAGATTGTGGTAATTTTAACTTCAACAATTGACTAGCAAAGTTGAGTCCAAGACTATGGAAGTTTAAGCTAAGGAATATTACTAGCAACAAAAATATATTAATTATTAATCATTCATATATTAAATATATAATTATTAATTATTCATCAAATATATTAATCAGTGGAGGGTTTTTATACCCAGTAGTTTGCTAAGAAGGATTTTTCCAACTATTTGAGTTAGTCTAATAAAAGATATCAGATTTACCCAAAGAACCTTGTCTGCTTTAATTCAAGCAAAGCTTCCTACATCATTAAACTACCCACAACACACATTCTGTGATATGTTCATATTTAAATGTCACAACTGGAAGTAAACACAACTAAATATTTAGTAAGAGAAATAGGAATAGAATTTATCACATGTGTACAGCATGCCCTGCAGCTCATTTGTTCCAGTTGGGCGTTTGCATGTTTGGGAGAATGTAGTGAGCATCCACGTCAGCTGCTTCTATATAAAAGAGAGGTTGAAAGACAGCAAGGTCGATGGTAAAGCCTCTGAGCTGGAAGTACCGAGAAGTTATTTTCCAAGCCATGCCACTGCTATGCTGTGTGATCTTTGTCCAAATAGTTCACCATTTTGCCTCAGCTTCCTGTTTGACCCTTTGTCTTATAGATTGTAAGGCTACTGTGGTAGGGACATTGCCTGATAGGACCCTCATCTGAACTGGAAGTTGTAAGCAATACCATAACACAAATCCCTGATGATAATAAGAATAATAATGGGGCAATCTTGTGACCCTGTCTGTGCTAGGATTTTCTCTTCAGTCACTCCAGTTTTGCCAAGGCTAATGCAGGTCTGTTGGTGGGGATGGCTGGTCTGAACAAGTGTCTGGGAATCTGTTGAGACTTCTTTAAAGGTATATACTAGTGAATTGCCTGTCAAGAATGACGGATGAATTTCAAATAACACCAGTGCTCTCAGTAGCCTCACAGTAGCAAAGTAATTGTCTTCTTACAGTAGCTGGGAGCCCAGCTCCCACTTGTCCTCAGCTGACCCCTCCCTCTTCCCTCCCTGCTGCACTGGGCTTACAACACCCTTAAAGAGCGTTACGGGTAGACACACAGACAGATGGACTAAACCCGATTAGATAGATAGATAGCTTATATATTTCTGATCCAAACTAAACACAACTATTCAATTTAAAACTTGTTAGTGAAAAACTAATTGGTTATAAACTGCATCAAAGGGTAAAGATGCATTGCAGTACTTCCAAATGATAGCAACCAAGCTGGCCTTCCTCAAAGACACGTTTCCCCACTGACGTTGCTACTTAATTAGTTTGTTAATCCACCCTGGCTAAGTGTTTGGTGTCATGCCTTTCTCCCACACAAGTCAGGGGTCTCAGTGATGTTTTTTGAGATCTGGGAAAAGTCAGGGGCTAATAATAGTAGCATTTTATTAGTAAAACCTGAAGAGAGATCTGAGAATGAGAAGTCTTATGTCTGCATTTTCTTTCTTTACGCTCAATCTCTTGAAAGGACCCATTTAACAATTACAATTCTGTCAGCTCCAGCAGATACTGGAAAAAATTTAACTTCGTTTTTAAAAAAAACTCAGTTGGATGGTGAAGGATCATTATGAGAGAGGCCCCTTTCTCCAAAGCTGAATTTGCCTCTTTTAAAAAAGAATCCATGGCTTACTATGTGAGACCGGAAAGTAATCCTTGATCTCCCTTCATACTAGTACAGAGAGACTGCCAGGGAATTGGTTCTTTTTTCTGGAAAGAGAAATAGTTTCTTGCAAACATACTCTGCAGAATTCAGCATCTTAGTAAATAATGTGTGTGTCCTTTTCTAAAGGTCACATCTGTATTATAACAACAACATCTCCACTGATAGGTTTTAATATTTGTTGCCATTTCCATTACGGATCTTTGGTTCCAGTGAGTTTGTCATAAAAAATATTTTTTAAAATTGTATGCAAAACCTATGATTGATGCTGGTTGTAAAAAAACAACCCAACCCCCCCCCCCCAAAAAAAAACAAACAAACAACCAAACAAACAACCAACTCAACATCAAATAAAAGGAAATTCATAGTTACAGTTGAAAATCTGAAATGCCAGCTTCTGCTTTACCTCGTACCCTATTTTTTCCCTTCTACCACAATAACATGAATTAAGGCCAGAAGCATCAGAGTCTTTTTTAAACCTAGTGAATGTTTTGTTTCATCTGCTTGTAAAAACCCAGCACCTGAAATTACTTACTCATGCATTTTATGAGTGTTGGTAAGTCCCTGTATATATCTTCAGGGGAAAAGATGAACAGCATAGACTTTTAGTACCTGACTGATGTGTTCTTTACTCCAGGTCTCAAGTATAAGGGTTTGTCTACAACTGGAGCTGTTCCTGAATAATTCCATTTGTGGACAAGCCCTGGCTAAAGGCAGTAGTAAACCTTGTAAAACACATTGTAGCTTCAATGGGAGTTGAAAGCACTGGTACTTTACTGGAGTGGCTGTTTGGTATATATATATATATATATATATATATATATATATAAGTGCTATCAAGAATTTAACTTCTCTTTTTCTATGAGACATCACTACTTCTTTCCATAAGGGACTAATTAACCTCACAATGCCAAAAGGCATAAATGTGGGATATGGTAAGTAAATTACTCTCGCAGTAACCATCTGTACAGTTGAATTATAGGATGAAATTAAAATGCATGCAGTCTTCTGAGCCTATTAGGGTAAGGAGGAAAAGTGAAACTAAATGAAATGTCTTGGCATATTGAAGCATTATGAGAGAGGACATGTACAAAACAGCAGACATTCCAGCTAGCATTGATCTCTGGGTGATAGTAACAATAGAGATGTGTCGATTAATTGCAGCCTTAGACGCTTCTAGAAGGACTGTGATGGTTTCTGTTGGTTGAACAAGTTGAAGTGAGGTGATCTGTTTGTGGCTATTGGTTTGTGGTGACGTAGTGTTGTTAGGACCTTTCTCTCTGACTGCAAGGATGTGAATGTAGACCTTGCTCTGGGCTCATGCTGAAGGTTGCATGCAGTGAACTTGGCTATATATGGATAGCTGGTCATTCAAGCTAGAGAATCACTAG